GGAGACCTCAGCTGAGATTGGGGGCATTTGATATTGACTCTTACAGAGACTGAGTAACTACAGGCCTCTGCTATCCAGGGGAAGGGGATATGACCCATGTCCTGAGAGGCCTGGCAGGGAAAGGGTGTGGGGAGACGGGGCAACAGGAATTGCCCTTCTGTGGCGTTTCTACCCCCACAATCCCTACAGTCTGTCTGCAGCATCCCGCTCTATGGGGCTTGGGTGGCCCTGGCCCAGAGCTGTATAATCAGCCTTTCCTAATCTTCCCTGCCTGACCTCCCTGCTGGTGTCCTCACAATCCCATTATCTCTGGCCATAAAAAGAGAATGAATGGGAGGCAGCTGCAGCCGTGGAGAGAGTTCATTGTATGGGGTTCATTGCTGGATGCTTCACACAAGGAACCAAAGCCACCCATCTCACCTCTTATATGGACAATGTAATCATCTCCCACATAGACACTCCAGTGCTTGTAAAACCCTCGGTCAATCTCAATCCTGTATAAAGGACAGCAATATCCAGTGGGGTGAGAAAAGCTGCTTAATCTAGTTGCTGCCCAGTCTAATAGGGTTGAGAGATTAGACTGCGTCCTTATATTTTCTTTTCTTTTGGTAACCACTCTGACTTGTTATGCTTTGACTTATAATAACTTAAAATCTATCTTCATAGTTAATAAATCTGTCTGTTTATTCTACCTGAAGCAGTGCGTTTGGTTTGAAGTGTGTCAGAGGCTCCCCTTGGGATAACAAGCCTGGTACATATCAATTTATTTGTTAAATTGATGAACTCACATAAGCTTGCAGTGTCCAGAGGGTATAAATTGACGCTTCAAGACGGAGGTTCCTAGGGTTGTCTGGGACCGGAGATATTGGCTAGTGTCATTCGCTTGCAAGTAGCTGGGAGCAGCTTACATGCCAGAGGCTGTGCGTGAACAGCCCAGGAGTGGGGGGTTCTCACAGCAGAGCAGGGTAAGGCTGGCTCCCAGAGTCAGGGATTAGAGTGACCTAGCAGATCACCGGTCCAGATAACACCAGAGGGGAACATCACACCCACATCCCTACTGGGCATGCTCAAGGTGTAGCAGCAGTAGAAGAGCAGCCCAGCTCAGTCTGGGCTGATCACTGGAGGAAGGATGCTTCTTGTCCGGGAACCACTGGACCCCTGGACTGCGGAAGCCAGAGGCACTGAGACCCAAATGGCTGCCCAGCTACCTGCGGACGCCCCAGGGAGGTCTGAACTACAGGGAGTTGCACTGGCCGAGGAACCCAGCGACCCCGAAGACGCGCAGCTCACCAACAGGAGTGACAAGGTAGGAAGTAGCCCGGGGGAGGGGAGGCTAGCCATCCCGAGGCCAGTCAGCGTGTTGCAGACGGATCCCCGCTGACCTAGTGGCAGACGCACTCACCACTGGAAGGGCCCTGGGCTGGGACCCAGTGGAGCAGGGAGGGCCCGGGTCCCCTACCTGGCCGTCACCCTCCTTCCCCCCCGGATGGTGGCCTACAATCTACCAAGCGGCCACTAGGCCATACAGCCCTGCTTGGAGGGCAACTCTAGTAACTCCGACCGCTAGGCTATACAGCCCCACCCAGAGGGACCTCTGAACCTCCATGTACCATCCCCAAATGGATGGTTTGGTGGGAAGATTTATTAAGACTAAAAAACATGTTGCGGAAATTCGTGGAGGAAGATCCCCACCACTGGGATGCTCTACTCCCCGCTTTGTTATTCGCCATAGGAGAGAGACCCAAAGCATCAACCGGGTTCTCTCCCTTCAAACTCCTCTATGGAAGGCAACCTCGGGGTGTCCTTGACCTCCTCGGGGAGGGATGGAAAGAGCAGGAGACTCGGCAAAGGGAGTGGCCCATCATGTGCTGTAGTTGCAGGGAACTTCGTGAAAGAGAACCCGATGCAAGCACAGCAGGCTCAGGCACAGCAATATAACAAGGGGACCCACTTACAGGATTTTGAACCCGGAGACCGGGATCTGCTTCTATTGCCCTCGGCTGAATCCAAGCTCTTGGCTAAATGGCAAGGCCCCTTCGAGGTCACTCGTTGGGCTGGTTGATTATGAGGTCCGACTACCAGGACGACAGCGGGCCACTCTCACATATCATGTCAACCTCCTAAAGGTGTGGAAGGCTAGAGAGAGTCTATTTATCGATCCTGATCCACTCGAGCCAGAGCTGGGACCGCTCGCTGATGACTCGCTGGAGGCCTCACCAGTGGCAATGGGAGCGGGCCTAACTGAAGCCCAATGGGAGCAATTGCAGGGTACACTGCAGGATTTCTCCGATGTCTTATCATCCCGTCCGGGGTGAACAGTGATTACGAGTCATCCTATTGCCACCAGACCCGGTCAGAAGGTCCGCAGTCCCCATTGCCTCAGAAGATGTGGGAAGCCGTGCGGAAGGAATTAGAAACTATGTTGGACCTGGGGGTAATAGAGGAGTCGCACAGCGAATGGTGAAGCCCAATAGTCCTGGTACCAAAACCAGACAGCTCAGTGCGCTTCTGAATCGATTTCCAGAAAGTGAATGAAATTTCCCATTTCGATACCTATCCCATTCCATGAATAGACAATCTCTTGTAACATCTAGGAGGGGCCAAGTTCCTGTCAACTCTAGACCTGACTAAAGGATATTGGCAAATCCCCCTGACGCTAAACTCTTGCTCTAACACGGCCTTCTCGACACCTTTTGGTTTGCATCAGTTTATCACGATGCCATTCAGGCACCACGGAGCTGCGGCCACCTTCCAGCAGCTCATGGATCGGTAGTTACAACCCCATGAGCAATATGCCACTGCCTTCATTGATGACATTGTCGTGTACAGCACCAGTTGGGAAGACCATCTCCAACACCTAACCCAGGTACTCCAAGCCCTTGGCCGTAAGTCCAGCATGCTTAACCCTACAAAATGTCATCTCGGGCAGAGCGAGGTGACGTACTTACGGTACACCGCAGGGGGGGAGGACAACTACAGCCCCTGCTCAACAAGATAAAGGCCCTGCATGATTGGCCCAACACAACAATGAAGAGGCAGGTGCAGCAATTCCTTGGCCTGGCCGGATATTACCGGCGTTTCATCCCAGACTTTGCTACCTTTACAGCCCCCCTGACGGACCTAACTAAAAATTCACGACCTCAGAAGGTCCAATGGTGGTCCCAGTGTGAGGCAGCCCTGCGGACATTGAAAGAATGACTGACCAGCAGACCGGTCTTAATACACCCAGATTTTCAGAAAACTTTAATTTTACAGACCGACGCCTCAGAAGTGGGCCTCGGGGCAGTATTATCACAGGAAGTAACTGGGGAAGAACACCCTGTGTGGTACCTAAGTCGCAAGCTGTTCCCCAGAGAAACAAGCTACTCAACTATTGAGATAAAGGCCTTGGCCGTTAAGTGGGCCATAGAAGCTCTACGGTATTATCTGTTAGGAAATACGTTCGGATTGATCACTGACCATGTGCCCCTGTGATGGTTAAATAGTATGAAGGACACAAACCCATGAATCATGTGCTGGTATCTTGCTCTACAATGATACGACTTTCAGGTACTACATCGCCCTGGGAAAGCATATGCCAATGCCAATTTTTTTTTTTTCCGAGGATAGGTGGGGAGGGGGGAGAAGAATAGCCCCCACTGGGTGCCCTTTTGAGGGCGAGGGTGTGTGACGGGGTGAGCTCCTGGAGGGCAACTTTGACTCCGGCCGCTAGGCTATACAGCCCCACCCAGAGAGCAACCCTATTGACTCCAGCCGCTAGGCTATACAGCCATGCCCGGAGGGGTATCTCCATTGACTCTGGCCGCTAGACTTTGCGGCCGGTGAACCCAAAGTATCATTAATGATGCTGGCCGCTAGGCCTTTCTACCCTGTAGACCCAGGGTATCTCTATTGACTTTGACCATCGGGCCTTACTGCCTTGCAAACCCTGGGTATCTCTATGGACTCTGACCACTAGGTCTTACTGTCCTGCAGAGAAGGGCTCCCCCCCCTTCCCCGGACGTAGGTCACGTGACCCTATTGCCCTGTGGAGCAAGGCGATTCCGTAGACTCCAGCCATTGGGCCTTAAAGCCCTGCGGATCAAGTCAACTCTATGGACTTCTGCCCTTAGGTCTCATGGTCTTGAGATAGAGGGCAGCTCGAAGGACGGGGTGAACTCACCCCACACTGGATGGGGTCTCTCCACCCCGTCTCACTCCCCAAGGCATAGAATAGCAGCAGAGTTACCCTGTGACCCTCTTCCAAGGAGGGAATGGCTGGGGTAGCTGTGGGCTACATCCTCCTCTTCAAACTCGTCTTTAATTAGAAGAGTAAATCGCTAATAAAAGGTTGTAACTACAGAATAAAACTTTAACTACATTATATCACAGACTACTGGCTAATCCTTAGGTCCAAGTAAAGACTCTGAATACAATGGAATTAGTGCAGTTATGCTGCACCTTGAAGCTTGAGCTCATCAAAAAGATAGCACCTCATTTAGAAGAACATGCCCTGTGGAATCAGTACAATTTCCTAGGAAGTCTCCCATGTAGGCTTGGGCTGGCTCCATGCCTGCCTAGCTTTGGAGAGATGTGGAACCTCAGTACACGATGGGCTACTTATAAACCACGTAAACTCTGTCTTTTAATCCCAGACAGCCAGACGCTTGGGTCTCAAGATGAGTGATTTACTCTTCTAACTGGGCATAGTCTGTGGAGCAGCTTTACTCCTGAAATCTCATTTAGTGTTTGTCTGGCACTGAAAACAGTCTGAGAACTGGCTTAAATGCCCCAAGGCAGAGCCGGTATGAACCCCACTCCTTCCATCTGCAGCAGTTCTCCTGAGCTTGGTGATACTCCGATAATACTCCAACAATTATTATCTACTCTGGGCCACTGACCGGTAACAGAAGACACAAGACTCCCGTTAATGAGGTAATTCTGAGGTCTAAAATTTATTTTGGTTTCCACAGCATGGCCCTGATCTATATCTTTTGTACAGGGTGGAGTGTTTCTGGGCTGAAGAAGTTTGACGATGCTACCGCTGTCAAATGAACAAAATCAGAATACCTATCGCCATTATCACTGCAACAGCCGTATTAGCCTGGAAACAAAAAGAATCCCCAATTAGTCAGGCAGACTCCAGACAACTCAAGAATCTCCCAGAGTGCAGCCTGCTCATTCAAAGCCTCTTTCTGGGCACTCTGTCTCAATAGGCTTCTCCTATTGAATGTCAGTGCTGCAGATAACAATCCTGGCTGGCTGAAGACAGCAATATGCAGGAGGTGTTAATGCTGCCACTGAGCTTTAGACCAATCATAGGCGCCGACTCTGTGGGTGCTCCAGAGCTGGAGCACCCACGGGGGAAAATTGGTGGGTGCTCTGCACCCACCAGCAGCTCCCTGCCCAGCTCGCCTCCGCCTCCTCCCCTGAGTGCGCCGCCTGCCTGCTTTTTCCCCCTAGCTCCCAGCGCTTGTGCTGCAAAACAGCTGTTTTGCTCGGCTGGGAGGGAGGGGAGAGGAGGGGGAATGCGGCGCGCTCAAGGGAGGAGGTGGGGCCGGGGTGGGGATTTGGGGAAGGGGTCCAATAGGGGCAGGGAGGGGGCCGAGTTGGGGCAGGGACTTTGGGAAGGGGTTGGAATGGGGGCAGGGAACTGGTGGGGTTGGGGCAGGGCTAAATGGAAGGAGCAATTAAATGTCCTTTAGATAGTGATAGCTGAAACAATAGGAAGTCAGGGTCCAAGGCAGGGCTGATCAGAAGTTGAGCTAAGTGGTTGGAGGAGGACTGATTGCATACATGGAGGGCTGGGGGCTTGATTGGTTTCATGTGTGTGTGAGGTCGAAAGCCAAGAGATGCAGCGGGGAGCATGACCTTAAAAGGGAATAGAGAGACAGGGATTCTTGGGCACAGAGTTTGCTTGAAACAGGCTTGGATTTCTGAACAAGGGAACTGCCAAATGTTGTTTGTTCCCCTAGAGCACCCACGGAATTGGTGTCTGGGGCTGGAGCACCCATGGGAAAAAAATAGTGGGTGCTCAGCACCCATGGGCAGCCCTGCAGATCAGCCCCTCTCCCTCCCTCATAGTGCCTCCTGCCAGCCGTGATCAGCTGTTCAGCAGCATGCAGGAGGCGCTGGGAGGAGCGGGGGCAGGAAGAGGCAGAGGAGGGGGTTGAATGGGACAGGAAGGAGTGGGGTGGGGTCTTGGGGGAAGGGGGGGGGGGGGGGCGGGGCCTGGTGCAGAGTGGGGGTAGAGCACGACTCGGGAACAGAGGAAGTCAGTGCTTATGTTTGTTCCTACTGCGTTCAGGGAAACTGGGCTTTTTGTGCATTCTTTGTAAAGACATAGGATTGCACCAAAGAGTACAACTGACTTGTGTTACCAATTTCTTCTCCTAATGGAATTAAGCCAGCAAGGCCCTGAATATTGGCAAACAGCTCAGACTAAAATGGAGCATCAATTGAGGGCTGGAAAAATATCCACCCGTCAGGCTGTGTGTGTTGTAGATGTCTGCTTTGTTCAGAGAAGCTCAGTGGGTATTTCTAGGTATTTGTACAACCCCGATCACTGTCATGTCTGAGTGCCTCACAAACAGTATTTATCCTCACAAACCGCTGGGAGGGAGGGCAATGCCATTATCCCCATGGTATAACTAGGGAAATTGAGGCATAGTGCAACTAAATGACTTGCCCAAGGTCACAGAGGAAGTCTGTGGCAGAGCAGGGGGTTGAGGTGGGGGAGAGCATGAAGACTGGTACTAGGGGGTGGGGGATGGCAATGGGAGGTGCACAGGGGCTGCTGGGGTAGCCGGGGGGGCCATGTGTGATGTCACTGTGGTGGCCTGGGGGCTGGCAGCAGGGGGCATGGAGGCTGATGCTGCAGAGGGGCAAGGGCAAGGGCTAGTGCTGGTCATAGTGTTTTTAGAGCCTCAATTGTCTTAAGCCAGGCCTGGTAGAAATTTCAGTCGGCAAAGGAACAACTTCGATGTTCACCTCACCAGAAATCTGATACCCACTAAAGGTCCCTTACATGCATCAAAGGAGTCCTGGCCTCATGCCCCAGTCCCCTCCCTGCTCCTCCCTCAGCCCTGTTTGCCTTGCTAGGCATCAGCACGTGGACCTGCCTACCCCACAGACACAGGGAACAATAACCCACACCTGGCCAGTTACATACTTGGTCACTTCTTGCTTCGTTGTAGCGAATCTCAGTAGCAAAGTGTTCACAGTTCTTAGCGAAGACGTGATATGTCCATGTCTTCCCAACCTCCTTGGTTGCCCTTTCTATGATTTTGGGCACCGGATACACCTGCCGGGTCCTGTCATACTTGTTGTTGACCCTATAGTTGCAGTTCCCTACAACACGTTTGAGGGGCTGTTTCTTCACTATTGCCTTGCCGTTGCTAGAGCTAACAAAGTTCCAGTCAGGCATTCCAGTCAGACCTGGAGATTGAAAACAGGAAGGCAGGCTATGAATTCATTCATATGGCCAGAGCCCACAGCCACCTTCCAGCTGTCCCTGCTGGTGCCCACTATATCATATTGCCATGCTGAATGGTGCTAATGGCTGCCATCACAGTGGGTCTTAGACCCAAAGACAATGACATTGGAGCCAATGGGGATGTCAAGCACCTTCTTTCTGGCTCAACAGAAGGCGCAATGAAGCTCCTTAATGTGGTTTAAACAAGCTGCAGACAGTGGGACTTCCACCCAAGACGCTAAGCCGCATGGCCAGGCCAGAGCTAACTCAAGTGGCTTAGCAGGGGCTAGGCAATGGGTGTTGGAAGCAGGAAGCCAAGAGAAGGAGGCATGAGTAGAGCTTTGCAAATCCACATATATCCACGGATCGTTTTTGTGGATAGTGGATCAGATGCGGATACAACCATGCAGGGCTCTACGCACCGGCAGTGCCTGGCCAAAAGCGTCCAGCTCGGGCAACCGGGGGGGGGGGCGGGGGCGCAGTGCACTCAGGAGCGGTGGCCAGTGGCTGGGGCTGGGCAGGCTGGAGTTGGGGCTCTCCAGCATCCGCTCACCGCACCGCTTCCTGTCCAGCAGTTCAGGCCCCTTGGGCAGCGCTAGTGTCCCAATCATGGCCCGGTCCAGCAGCACTGGCCGCGCTCCCAGCCCGCCAGCTCCTAGGCAGTGGAGTCCAGGGGCGGCGAGTTGTATGGGCCCATGGTGCCCAGGCTCCAGCAAATTCAGGGCCTGGGGGGGCCCGGCTCCACCAATGTTCACGGCCAAGTCTCTCCTCCGGCTCTGCCTGCCGCCCCCGGCATGCCTCCCCTGAGTGTCCCTGCCTGCCCTGGGCAGCTGCCCCCTGCAGCTCCGTGCTGCATTCCCTCGCCAGCTGCTGCCAGTTACAAGGGAGCGGCGTCCCTGAGGCAGCTGCTGTGCCTGTGGAAGAGGAGGGGAGGAGCCACATGGCAGCCCCCACCCACGGCAGGCAACTCTGAAGTGTGGGGGCTTATCCTGGCTGGACCGCCTGAGCAGCAGCCGGGGGGGCTTGGGTGAGTGTCATGCCAGGGGGGCAGGGAAGGACCTCCCATCCCCCAGAGCTCGCTGCTGCCGGTAGGGAGAGGGCTGGGGGGAGTCCTCCTCTCTGGCCCCCCACCCCAGCCCCAGGGCAGCCTGCCTGCCGCACCCCCTCCAACACCCCAACCCTCTGTCCCAGCCCAGAGTCTACACCCAGCACCCCAAACTGCCTCCTACACCCCCTCCTGCACCCCAACCCCCGTCCCACCCCAGAGCCTGCACCCAGCACCCAAATTCCATCCCAGAGCCCACACCCCTCCTGCACCCAAACTCCCTCCAAGAGCCTTAGGCAGGTGTGTGGGGGGGTGGGACTTGGACCCATTCTAGGCACCACCAAAAATTATACAAACCTGCTGTCCCTGGTGGGGCCCACGCCCAGTCACGGGGATTGAAGTGGGCGGGGCCCTGGCGCCCCATCCCTTCGCCCCACTGTGATATAACATGTACTGTTGCTGCCATGCCGTCGCTCATGAGCCCCCGGGAGCAACATGCAATGCACCGCCCCCACACCGCCCCTTCTCCTCAAGACTCCACCTCTGCGCTGCCCCTGCACCGCTCCTTCTCCTCGAGACCCTGCCCCTACACCACCCCTTACCTCCAGTCCCTGCACTGGCACCACCTGTTCCCTGCAAGACCCTGCCCACTCATCTCCACCCCTCTCTCCCCTTCGCCCCCCCTGTCGCTACTAGTAGGGTTACCATATTTCCACAAGCAAAAAAGAGGACATGGGGGGGAGGAGCCCCGCTCTAGCCCCACCCCTGCCCCGCCCCCATCCACTCCCTCCCACTTCCCACCCCCTGATTGCCCCCCTCAGAACCCCCCCCCCCGACTGCCCCCTCCTGGGACCCCTGCCACTAACTGCCCCCTAGGATCCCACCCCCTATCTAAGCCGCCCTGCTTCTTGTCCCCTGACTGCCCCCCCCGAGAACCCCCTACGACCCTACCTGTCCCCTGACTGCCCTGACCCTTATCCACACCCCCGCCCCCAGACAGACCCCCGGGGACTCCCATGCCCTATACAACTGCTCCCCGCCCCCAGACAGCCCCCCCAGAACCCCCAACCTATCTAACCCCCCTGCTCCCTGTCCCTGACTGTCCCAACCCCTCTCCACACCCCTGCCCCCCTGACAGCCCCCCCCCAAACTCCCAACCCATCCAACCCCCACTCCCTGTCCCCTGACCAGGGCCCGCTTTGAAGAGCCCAGGAATCAGGCTGCGCTCTGGCCGGGGTTGCAGGGCCTGGGGCCGGGCCGGAGGTGCTTGGCTGGCACGCTCAGCCGGGACCAGGGCCGGCCCGAGCTGGGCCCCGGGCCGGCGCTGCTGGGGCCCGAGCCGGGCTGGCGCGCTCGGCCGGAAACGGGGCCGCTGCCCTGGGGCCGGAGCCGCTGGGGCCGCCGGGCGCCGCTCGGCCCGGGCTGGAGGGAGCCGCTCGGCCAGGGCCGCGCCTCCCCGGAGCTCTCCTCCTCGCACCCCCTGCCCCAGCTTACCTGCTGCTGCCTCCCGCTTGCCCCTGCTTCTTTTCACACTTCCCACGAAGATCTGATTCGCGGGAAGCAGGGGAGGGGGAGGAGCAGGTGGGCGGAGCATTCAGGGGAGGGGAGGGGAGGAGGGGGAAGACAGCTGTGGGGCTGGACAGCATGGTAAGGCTGCAGGGGATGGGGGGAGCCGGGAAGGGGCTTTGGGTGTCCAGCGGCGCTTGGCCGCCGCTTTTCTGTCTATAAATAGCCAACCGGGGGGAAATCCCAGACATTTTTAGATTTTTAAAAATCCCCCCCCGGGTGGCTATTTATAGACCGAAAAGCCAGGCATGTCCGGGGAAATCCGGACATATGGTAGCCTTAGCTACTAGTCCTTGTGAGGCTTCTGCGGGTGTGGTGTGGATGCGGGTACACATAAAAGACTGCTAGTGGATGGCAGGTCAGATGCAGATTGATTCTGGCAGATGCCGATCCACATTTTTGTATCCACGCAGGGCCTAGTCATGAGTGTGACACTGAGCAGAAGCAGAGAGCCAGGGCTTCTTGGGCACACAGCCCAGCGGACAGGCAGACTCAGGGAGTTCTGAGCACGAAAACTGCCAGCTGCTTCTTCATTTCTGCTGCATTCAATAAACAAATTTGTACCAAAGAATACACCTGACTCAGATCATCAATTCCTCACCTTAACAGAAACAACCCTGCCAGGCCCCAAATATCAGCTAGCAACATGTACACATGTATTGTGAGAGTTGGCAACAATTTCATATCCAGCTTCTGGAGTCCTGTGATTACACAAGGCTCTCAGCTTTCATATCAGACTTTTCTGAATCAGAACGAAAAATCAAAATGTCTGAAACCTGCTTGTGCAACAAAAAAAAATTCCCAAAATATTTTTGTTTCAATTTTTGATCAAAATGAAACAATTCTAACATCCCTGAATGGAAACATTTCACTTCAGGTCAGCGTTAATCTCTGCATCTACCTGTAAGGGGACTGTTGTCCCCTTACTAAAACTCAGTGGGGGTGTTTCGGTTGGCCAGCTCCCAGTACCAAAAGAAAGGGGATAGTTGATGGGAAATCAGGACCCTGAGACTGACAGGTCCCAGGAACAATGGGGAGAGGCCAATGCTCCAGGTCAGCCTGATTGACAGGGCGGGCAGGCTAATCAGGAGGCCAGGGTGGGTCCCATCCTCTGCGAGAGCTGGAATTGCCTGGGTCAGACAGAGTGGGGCCGAGCTAAGTAGAAAGCAGGGGCCCAAGCTGAGCTGGGGAGCAGAGCTGTGCCAGATCCAGAGGGGCCAGAAAAGCAGCTCAGCAAGCAGCTCAGAGCTGGGAGCAGAGTCACAGAAGCAGCCTGCAGAGCCGACCTGTCCTGGGGGCAGAGCTGTAGCAACCATAGCCAGAGAAGCAGTCCAGAGAGCTGGAGGCAGAGCAGCAGCAGCAGCTGCCGTGCTGAGGCAGAGTGGAGCTGGAGCTGGAGCAGTCCGGAGCTGAGTGCAGTGAGCAGCTGGGGAGAGAGCGCGGGGAACCCTGGACAGTGGGCCCAGCGCAGGGAGACGCCCCCAGCCAAGAGGGCCTGCAGGCTAGACTTAGATGGGGATCGTAACCCCGACGGGGCGGGGGCAACACTGGGAAGAAGAGTCCTTCCACCTGGAGCCCGAGAGTGTATGGCCATCGCCAGAGCAAGTGTCCGACCCGCAGCATCCCTGCAGCACAGCCAGGGCCTGAGACTTGTGAGGAACAGACTGAACTTCCCTTACATTTTAGGGCTGGTCCACACTAACCCCCCACTTCGAACTAAGATACGCAACTTCAGCTACGTGAATAACGTAGCTGAAGTCAAAGTATCTTAGTTCGAACTTAAAGGTACTTACCACGGGTCCACACGTGGCAGGCAGGCTCCCCCGTCGACTCCGCCTACTCCTCTCGCGGAGTAGGAGTACCGGCGTCGACGGCGAGCACTTCCGGGATCGATTTATCACATCTAGACAAGATGCGATAAATTGATCCCAGAAGATTGATTGCTTACCACCGGACCCGGCGGTAAGCATAGATGTACCCCCAGAGACAGCTGGTTGTGATGTCCCCATGCCATAGAGGGGGGTTATGTTTTCCTTTAACCTTTCCCATTTTTTAAAAAATTGATTGTTGTTTACTAAATTGTATTAGCTTTGAACTATATGGAATGATCAGTGGTTCAGGGAAGCATCCAGTGCAGAGAGAGCACCCTGGAGTGGGGACACGCTAGCCCCTGCCCTAAGTGGCCACAACAAGGTTGGGGGCTGAGCCCCCCCCCCCCCCCCCCCCCCCCTGGGCCCAGCCTTGTTGGGTTTACGAGGACTCTGCCACATGGGAGAGTGAAAGGGGAGTCCTCTAGGTCAGGCCTGGCTCTGAGTAAAGCAAGTGGGAGCGAGGACTCAGATCCTTTCGCTAGCCCACTTCACCGGGGTAGTGTATAGCCAGGAAAGTTCCCCACAATAGCGGGACCATTCCCCGCTTACATATCTGAGCTGCTGTGGGCCTCATGGGAGTTGTAGTTCCAGGTCTTTCATGGGCTTCCTATGATGCCCTGCTGCAGCTGAGCCCCAGGGACGGCCATTGTCCCTCATGGGGAATCAGGGCACATGAGAAAATGGAAAGCAGGAGAGACCCAGAACTAGAACTCACACAAGGTATCCTGGCAAATTAAAGGGAGGAAAAGATTAATGTTGGCCTGAAACAATATGCTTTGTTTTGATTCTCCTGCTGGAAATTTCCACTGAAAGCTATTTTTTCCCCATGGCAAAACTCCAGTTTCGGATGGGAAAAGGTTTCATTGGAAACTTTTCAACCAGCCCTAGACACAAATGACAGTTGAAAATGACTAGAACCAAAAGAGACTGGAGAGAAAAAAAAAAAAATCTGTTGTCTCGATCTGTTGCTTTTGTGCAGTAAATGGCACGATTGCATGCCCTATTTCCCCAACGTAGTCAGTTTCCCCCCTGTGTGTGTAGAGTCTATCAAAGCAGAGTGGAGAGAAAAAAAAGTGTTTTAAACACTTTTTATAAATAGGAAAAATGGGATTGTGTAAAACCGCGAAAACGGCAGGGGGGGGACTCAGTGGGACTGTTATGGGAACACCAGGCAGAAAGATAAGTGATTGAAGCTAAAGGGCAATGTTGGCACAAGAATGACTGGGGATAAACTGACCAGGAATCAATCGAGGTTGGAGAGGAGAAGAAGGTTGCTACCCATCAGAGGAAGGAGGTTCTGGTGCAGCCTCCCCATTGGAGGAGGGGGGCAAACACGCCCAGCTTGTTTGAGGATGGAGCCGGATACGTTTCTGACCAGGATTCTGTGAGGGGGTTGGCTGTGCTAGCGGGGTCTGGACTCGATGACCCAGGAGGCCCCTTCCAGTGCTATGTTCAAGAAGCGAGCTTAAGAACCTATATCTGTTAGTTCAAAGGCTCTAACTAGCCACCTCATAATAAACCTCTTTGCAGAACAGCCATTAGAGGGCAGCCAAAGACGCAATGTGTGGGCTACAAGAAGACGTAGGTGAATGATGGATTTTTTTAATTAGCTGGCAATTCTGACAAATAAATGTTTTTTGGGTTGACCCAAAAATGAATTTTTTCAAAATTTTTGGAAAATCCAAAGTTTGTGAGGAAAAAATTAATTTGGGGCAAACTAAAGGTTTTGTTTCAAGCATGTCTACATGTTTTTTTAAATATTTTAAAATAAAATTAAATGAAATGTTGAAACTAAAAAATCTAAATGTTTAGGGTTTAGTTTTGAATGTTTATTTTTTAACCAAAACAATTTGGTGAAATTAATACAAATTTGCCAAATGTTTCTGTGTCATAAAATCTGCATTTTTTTCCAAACACAAGAAGTGTGGATGAAAAATGTCCCCCAGCGCTAGTTACAGGTACTTGAGACTCTAGAGCATGAACATTTGCCATGGCCTCATCTGCATGGTATCTCACCATCTCTCTGCTGGATGCTTCACACAAGGAACCAAAGCCACCCATCTCACCTGTTATATGGACAATGTCATCGTCTCCCACATAGACACTCCAGTGCTTGTAAAACCCTCGGTCAATCTCAATCAGGTCTCCGGCCTTGGGTTTCTGCTGCAGGAGAAAAAATTATTGTCCAGTCAAAATGGCAGGGAGACAGGGTAGCTGCTGAGCAATCAGAGACAAAAGGAAAAGATGCCCTGGGCTTGGAGTAACTCAAAAGCTAGCAGTAAGGGACTTTCACTGGAGAAAGAAGTAGTCAACTGAGGCTGGAAATAAGCATGTTTCTACCCATCAGAGGAAGGAGGTGCTGGAGCAGCCGCAGGGCCAACCTTATGGGTGGGCGATGTAGGTGACCGCCCAGGGCACCATGGTCAAGGGGCAAGGAGCAGAGTGGGGCTGGGGTACGAGATCACAGAAGGGAGCTTGGGGCAATGCAGGTCGGGGAGGCAGAGGAGCCTGGAGGTGATAGTGGAGTAGGCAGCCTGGGGAGGCAGCGGGGGCTGAAGGAGGGGGAAGCCCAGGGGGGCAGCAAGGGCCAGGGGTGCTGGGGATCCAGGGAGGCAGTGGGACCCAGGGGTGTTACCCCCTCCCACCCCCTCTGCAAGGGTCCACTATGCTGGGATGGTCTCAGGAATTCCCTGAGGACACGGCACCTCCATCCAAAAAGTGATGGACACAAGCAGTTCAAACACACAACGCCTTTTATTAGCCCCCAAATCCCTATTGCAATAAGCTAGAAGCACCCCGAATTGCAATTCTGTACAATCCAAGGTGATGCTGAATGAGCAGCGCCCTGCTTCCAATGGCCAGTTGTCTATGGGTCATTGGGGATAGGGAGAATTATTGGTGACAGCAGCTCTTGCTAGCAGTTCTTTGGCAACAGTACTGTCTCTCCATGGTTTCCTTGCTCTTACCTCTATAGTTATGACTTTGGACGCGCACCAACATTGTGGTTAAGCACTTGCTGCTGCACTCAATGTCATGACCTGCTGCTTTACCACTGTTTGCAATTTTTCCACAAGCTTGCTATTTTTCTGCCCTGACGTCATGTCTATGCAAGCTGCCTGCTTTCAGGTAAGGGGGGGAAGGGTTTCAAAATGGAGTAACCCTTGTTTTCCGCTGTCCAGAGACACCAAAATACAAATTGGACCAGGGCACATTTTCCCTAAGATCGACCCTGAGCAGCCTCCCAATAGGGCGAGTGGGGACACACAACCCACTTAGTTTGAAGATGGAGGTGGCAACGTTTCTGACTGGGATGATATAATGGGGCTGGCTGGAGATAGTAGGGATGAGACTCAGTGACCCAGGGGGTCCCACCCAGTCTACAGCCTATGTTCCATTATTAAATTAATTTTCACTCAAACTAAACACATTCCCTTGTACGTTCGCAGAAAAATCACTGTGGGCTCAAAGGGTAGGTCTGGTCATTTTGCAGGAACACCCTATATTCTCTGTGTGTAACAGGTTGTTTCAGGTGCAAAATTCAACATCTCCTTCCCTATGGAGCCAAAACAGGCCCCTTCATAGTAATTTGTGTTTACATAGCACTTAGCCTTGCCACACCCAGCTGTTTGATTGTTTTTATATCGGTTGCTATATGACTACATGGGCTAATTCCAGCAAGAAGCAAAACAGAGGAATCAAAATTGCTTATTTGCTGTTTATAATCACAGAACACCAGAGTCAGCCCAAGGCTTTTGATAAGGATTTTGCGCTAATTCCTCTGCGGGGAGAAGCGCTGCCCTGAGCTGTCTTCTCTTCTTTTCTCTTGGTCCTGGTCACTTTCCCAGGGTCATTCTGTTAGAAATCAGAAATGAAGAAAAGGAGTCAGAGATTCCTGGTCTCCAGCCAACTTATGAGGCTGGTGTGATGGAATGCCTATCCTAATAGAATCCTTATCTATGTGGCTATACTCCACAAAAGTGTGGCACACCAGCATAAAACAATTAAGAGAAGTGGAGCCACACTCTCCCTGAATTAGATCAATGACTGAACACCTAACTGAGAAAAGGTGGGCTGAAAGAAAAGGATAAAACTTCTCAAGGAAAACAATGTTTATCCAATATAACACATAGCCTGAATTGAATTCCTTTATCTGTGTATCTCTCTCTCTTTTCATATGGATTACTTATGCTGTTAAATATTTATCTTGAATAAAAATTTAGTAATTAAATTAACCCCACCCCATGGTCTTTCAGTGCATCAGAACCTGTATATAATGAGGTGAAGAGATTAACTGGTTGGATTGTCCAAAGGGCTAGGGCCCAGCAACACCCATTTCCTGTTGGCTGGCTGGGCGTTTTTGAAAATGTGAACCTTTCATTTAGGTGCCTAAATGGGAGCTGGTGTCTCTGGAAAATCCATCCCCTCCAAAAGGTACACAGGCCACCGTCTGCTTCCTTAGAAATAGAGCTGGTCAGAACTTTTCAATGCAACGTTTTTCCAGCTGCAAATAGCAATTTGTCAAAGTCAAAATGTTCCTTCTTAAGAGTGCGAGTAATTAAGTATTGGAACAACTTACCTAGGGTCGTGGTGGAGTCTCCATGACTGACAATGCTGAACTCAGGATTCGATGTTTTTTTCTAAAAGTTCTGCTCTAGGAATTATTCTGGGGGAGTTTGCTGGCCTTTGTTAGACAGGAGGTCAGACTAGATTATCACAACAGTCCCTTCTGGCCTTGGAATCGGGGCCATCCTTACCCATACACAAACTACACAGCTACATGCTGCTCCAGAGACCAGGCCGATCCCCCAGCCTGCTGAGCCAGCCAGGAAAGTAGCCCCTGCCCCGCCTCTTCCTGCCCCTGCCCCACCTAATTCCACCCCTGAGCTACATCTTGGGGGAATGCAGCAGGGGTTGGGCACACCCTGCACTCACCGGGTGGCAGGAAGTGGAGCGACCAGGCCCCAGCTCGCTCCACGCTGCCGGTGAGTGCTTGGGGGAGCTTCCCCTCTGCCCCTCCCCCAAGTCCCAAGTCTGGAAGTCAGGGGAGCAGAGCGGAGCGGGCTGGGACTGGGTCACTCCACTTCCCGCCGCCCCATGAGTGTGGGGTCGGGCCCACCCTGCAATCACCAGGCGGCAGGAAGTGGAGTGACCCGGCCCCAACACACTCCACCAGCTCATGCTAGAAGCGGTTACACTCTGCCCCCCAAGCCTAGTCCTGCCCACCACAAACCTTGGGCACAGCCCCCCCCCTCCCTCCACGGAGGCCTGGGGATGCCTCTCCCTCACCCGTGGGGGGGGCTGTGTAGGGCACCACCAGGGGCGGCTCCAGGCACCAGCGCAGCAAGCACGTGCCTGGGGCGGCAAGCCACGGGAGCGGCCTGCCGGTCGCTGTGAGGGCGGCATGCCTGCCGGCGGCTATTCGGTGGGTAATCTGCCAGTTCCGCGGCAGGTACGATGACGGTGCAGGTCTGGCAAATCACCCGCAGAAATGCCGCCAAATCTGCGGGACCAGCGGACCTCCCGCAGGCGTGCCACCGAAGGCCGCCTGACTGCCGTGCTTGAGGTGGCAAAAAACAGAGCCGCCCCTGGGTACCACAATGTCTAGGGATGGCCCTGAATCTATGGTTCTATGAATCTATGCATAAAGGACAAACCTAATGCAAGTTATTCTGACATACAAGCCATTTCAGTAAGTACTTACCCCTTTAAGTGGCATTTTTGTTCAGCTTCAGCATCAGAATGACTTATTGTCTCAGAGTTTGTGTTTTAAAGAAATTAAGATTTCGATTTCAGTTTCAGTTTCCCCTTGACTAATTCAAACGTGTCACCTACGTAAATCCTATGTAAATTGATAAAAGAGACATAGGCCTTGTTTGCACTGCCACACTACAGCACTGCAACTTTCTCGCTTGGGATGTGAAAAAACAGCCCCTGAGCACTGCAAGTTTCAGTGCTGTAAAATGGCAGTTTAGACAGTGGGAGTGTTTTTTTACAGTGCTGAGAGAACTACACAGCCATGTTAAAGCGCAGCCACAACAGTGCTTTAACATTGCTAGTGAAGGCATCCCCTTGGGTGGTTGCATCGCATCTAAGTAGCATGAATGGACACTGGACTGTTGTGGTTCCTGGGGAACCTGTTTAGCTCATTGCTGGAAAAGAAAAGCTAAAATTAGACCAGAGGTGAAGCAGATTCATTGCCATAAGCATCATCAAGGAAGGAGAGCGTGGCACTCTGTAGCTCAAAGTCACACCCTGGAATCCCCATACTCACCCCTGTCATATAATTGATATGTTTTGCACAAAGTATGCCTTGTGAGGTATCATGTTAAAGGTCTTGATCTGTTGAACATTAATTTCCTGTTGGATTGTATGTGTTGTCATTGTATGTGAAGTTATGAAGTTTTGCTATGTATGTGTTACTGAAATGTGTTGTGAGGTTGGGAACACCCACAACCAGCCTTTCAAGTACAACAATGGAGTAGCCAGACACGCTGATGGCCCATTAAAGAGAATTCACTATCCCAGGAGCTGTATACAGGAGCTGAGATTTCTCAGAGAGATCACATAGAGGACAGAGAATGCTTGACCAATGGGGGCAGACACCCACGTCACAACCACAGATCTTTCCAGTAAGCTGGAAGAAACTATAAAGAGGGGAAGTGACATCATGGCTTGGCCTCACCCCACCCCCCACAACTCATCTGCAAGAAAGGTTTGGAGGACAAAGACTTTGACCTGGGGAGGGTGGTCAAAGGGAGGGAGAGTTCCAGCCTGTGCATTGAAGAGCTGAGACCTGCTTGTACCCCGTTGGATCATATGAACTGGAACCATAAACTCCCTAAACATTAAATCTCACCAAATGAGGGTCAATCCATCCTCATCATCATATCCACTCATTATAATCCACACCCGAACATAGCCACTTTATGAACTTCATACCCTCATATCTCAATGTCTGTACTTTGACCCATCAACCTTTTACCCCCAATTGGGGATATTGCAGATGATGTATTCCTTATGCCACCTTATCTTAAGCCAAACTTTGCACCCTCTATAATCTGTATGTTATTCCCTGATAACCAGAAACTTCTATGCTCAAACTCTGTTCACTATTTTTTTTAACATCTTAATAAAATTTTTAAGTCTATCAGGGTGTGACACTGCTCCATTCCACCCTCTTCCCTCAAGTCCCCGTCCCTGCCCCTTCTCCGCCTACTCCCTTGAACATGCTGCATCCCTGCTCCTTCCCCTCTATCCCGGAAAGTCCTAAGCGCTGCCAAACAGCTGCTAGGTGGCAGGGGGATGGGAAGCGTTGGGAGGGAGGGGGAGGAGTGGGGATGCAGCACACTTGGGGGAGAAAGGAGGTGGTGGGGGGAGCTTGGCTGGCGGTGGGTGCAGAGCACCCGCTAATTTTTTCCCATGGGTGCTCCAGCCCCAGAGAACCCACGGAGTCAGCGCCTATGTCCCTATCGATGGTATATGAGTGGCTGGGAGAAGTATTCATGTAACTCTGTTGGGTGTGTCCCTGTCTTTGGATGGCTGT